GGTTGAGAGTCCGCCTGCCGATGCAGGGGACACGGGTTCGTGCCCCGGTCCGGGAAGATCCCACATGTCGCGGAGCGGCTGGGCCTGTGAGCCATGGCCGCTGAGCCTGCGCGTCGGGAGAGGCCACAACAGTGAGAGGCCCGCGTACCACCAAAAAGAAGAAAAGAAGAAGAAGGGTGGTCCTGACAAAAGGAAAAGTGGTCGGATTCCAGATGGATTGGACAGGGGGTGTGGGAGAAAGAGAAGGTCAACGGTGGCCCCAAGGTCATCCTCAGGAGGTTGGAGTTGCCTTCACCCAAAGAGCTTCGGGGTAGGGGCACGAGGAGTTTGGTACTGGTAAAGAGTCTCCTTTTCAAAAGCTACTTGCACCATGCCTGGTCCATCCTTATGTTTTCTCTCTTCCCCAGCCATATTAAGACTAAGATCCTCAGCGTGGCCTACAAAAGGCTCTGTATTGGGTCCCTACCACTGCTCTGGCTTCACATTTGTACCAGACTTCCCTTTAGACTCGTTCTTTGGGCAACACTGGCCTCTCTTCAGCTCCCTGAACATGGATGCTCTTTCCAGTCTCCAGTAAGCAATTCCCCAGCCTGGAATAATGCCCAGCCACCACGCATTCCCCCTGCCCGCAGTTATCTCAGTTAAATCCTGTTCAAGCTTCAGATCTCAGCTTTGACACCATTAGCTTAAGGAAACCTCCAGGTCTCCCCATATGCTCTCTCCTAGTGCTCTACATGTTTCCTGTAATTACATAATTGTATGATTATTTGATGCATGTCCTTCTTCCCACTAGACTATAAAGTCCCAGGGCGCTGGATTCACGTGCTTTGCTCACCGCTGTACCTCCAGTGCCTTACCCAATATCTGTGTGTGGTACGTACTTAGTAGATGTGTCTGTTGAGTAAATGGATTTCAGTTTACCACCAGCCTAAAAGAAAATAGTTTTGACATTTACTTTTTTTCAGAGTCTTTGTATAATTCTAGTATAGGGAATACTGAACTGGAAAAAACACAAAGGAAAGAATACATTATCATTTATAATAATTACTAGCATCCTTCAAAGTTCATTATGCTCATCACCAAGTCCAAAGTTGTACTGCTCGCCGCACAACAGGTCAGTAAATCAAGAGATGCGTTGTTAGGGCGAGGAACAGTGACTTTATTCAGAAAGCCAGCACACCTAGAACATGGTGGACTTGTATCCCAGAGAACCCTCTTGCCTGAGTTAGAATTTAGGCTTCTTTTATACTAAAAGGGGAGGGAGTAAAGTCAAACATTTCCTGGTTCCCAGCCTCTGGGAGGGGATGTGTTAATTTCTTCCTCCCTGCAGTCATTCACAGGTGGGCCTGGTCAGGATGTTCCCTGAGAGCTAAACAAAGGTATTTCAGCTTAATGCTCCTTACCTGGAAGGCAAGGTTCCCAGATATGGGCCTTCATGGATAATTTAAGCTTATAGGCAACATCCCTTTAGTGATTAACTTGTAATAGAATTCAAAGGTTTTTCCCTATTACGTGCTCATTAAGGAGTCCAAGCCATGAAGGATTCCTTTCCTGTAAAATATGGTGCTGCCCACCAGACTTCTGGTTCTCCTCAGAAACCAGAGTGTATTACAGACTTGCATTGTCTGCCACCTTGAAGACAGACTAAGTCCTTTGACTTCTTCTTGGCCATTAAAACGTGAGCAGAAGTGATAGGTGTCAATTCCAGGCAGAGGCATTTGAGAGCTGGTGTGCAACCCTCCAGCTCCATTCACCTGGCTTGGTTTCCTGTGGCTGCCATGAGGAATTACCACCACTGGGGGGCTTAAAACAACAAAAACTTAATCTCTCACAGTTTGGGAGGCTAAAAGTCCAAAATCAAGGTGTCAACAAGGCCATGCTTCTTCGGAAGGCTCTAGGGAAGAAACTTTCCTTGATTCTCCCACGTTCTGGTGGTTGTTGGCAATCCTTGGGGCTCCTTGGCTTGTAGATGCATCACTCCAGTCTGTGCCTCCATCTTCACTTAGCCTTCTCTTTGTGTGTCTTTGTGTCCAAGTATCCCTCTTCTTTCTCTTATAAGGACACCAGTCATTGGATTTAGGCCCACCCTAATTCGGTAGGACCTCGTCTTAAATTGATTACATCTGCAAAGACCGTACTTCCAAATAGGGTCATATTTACAGGTACTGTGGGGTAAGAACTTGAAAACAGCTTTCGGTGGGGACATAATTTAACCCATGACACCACCCTACACTGGCAATCATGAAGCACATGTTGAGATGGAGGCTTGGTCAGCCTGAGTCCCAGAGTGACTATAATCAGAGGTTTGTATCTCCTAGTTTACCTCATTTCAGTCACATGTCCCCCGAGTAGAGTGGCAGGCTGAATCAACTGCCCCAGGTAAAGCATGTATCCCTCTAGCTTTTTGATGAGTAAATTTAATTGATTCATGTAAATTAAATGTGTCCACACTGTATATCTCTTTCTTGTAACCTGTATCCAGACTGTCGTCCATAGGATATACTCTCAGTGATGATCAGTTCCTGAGGGCCTGCCACATGCCTATGTGCCAAGAGGAGTGTGTGCTAAATTAGACACAAGGATCCTTGTCCCAGTGAGTGTATAATCTAGTCTGGTGGGCAAGGTAGAAAAAACTATCAGTGTTGGCTGACATTATCAGAGGACACCACGGGAAGAGACTGAATAAGAGGCAGTGCTTAACAGGGCTCCCAGTATGTTTTAAGGACATGCTAATAAGCACCTTAAGGTATTATAATCTTTAAACCCCATGGAGGTTGTACACCTTGAGGTTGGTATTTTTTTATCCATTTTACAACTAAGAAAACAGAGGCTTTAAAAGATTTAAGCAACTTGTCCACTGGTCACTGAGAATTCCAATCCAGGTCAGCCTGACTCACAAACCTGGCGTCTGTGGCCTTTCCTGTGCTGCCCCTTCAATTCACCTGAGCCTTGATGGTCTGCTAGAACACGGGAGGCTACACTCCGAACTACACACAGTTTGCTTCTCCTTCTATAGTTATCCCACGGCTGCATTGATCGTGTGGCACAATTCACGGTAAGGAAGAGAACAGAATAGTTAACTACGCCTCAATTTCTATTTCGGTAAAGTGGCCTTCCTAGCTGATATTTATGAACTAATTAAACTCAGCCTTTCATCTTTCTAAGATGGAACTACCTTTCAGACTTCAATTTTCTAACTTGGCCGTGGATGCAAAGATCTGTCATATCAGAGGCCTTCATTTCTCCTCTAAAGCATTAAAACAATTAAAAGAAACAGCAGGATCAAAAGAATCGATATGAAACCAAACCAACCCTATTGTTAAGTGTTTCCAACCTTGTTTCAAAACAGCCTTATGAGGATTGTTTTCCAAACAGCAGTGTATGAAGCCATCTACTTTTGAAAACTGATTTTCCTATGAATAAGTATCTGGTTTTCTACGCTTGGAGAAGCAGGGAATACCCAAGCTGGCGTTCAGTAGTAACAAATATGAAATAGACCATTAAAAAAAAAAGTTGTAGGAATGTTAAAATCCTTGTTGACTGGTTTTTGCGTTTACCCGGCAGCATTCCAGTGCTAGCGTTGGCATGGAGACTGGAAAAGGAAACTTTCCACCAATCTGTCACTTGCTACTGTTCCCACTTATTTTACTGTGGATCCAATTTTAACAGTTTTTTAAAACATAAAAAAAAAAAGTTTGATGCTTTTTTGCTTTCTCTTTCAAGACGTTTCTCAAACATAAAAACACGCATGAAAAAGCTTTGTAAAATCAGTCAAAGATCTAGTTTTCCAAATACTCAGCTGTTTTCATTAGGATAATTGCCTGGTTTTTTTTGTTTTGTTTTTCCACGTTTAGTCTGAATGCTTTGCCATGGGGGAGCCCCACAGTCTGAAAGTAACTTTTTCCCCACTCTCCTCACTGCACTTATTACAGAGGCTGGAAGACGCATCTGCTTTTCAACAGTTTGTGGTCCTTTTGAGACCAGGGAAAGCTGAGGTTTCAGGAAGAAAGTTGGACTTCCCAAAACTTCGGTGGCAGCAAGTTTGGTATGGTCACACCTAGGATTTCTTGAAATCAATTTCGTTGAGGAAGAACAGTCTGAGATTCTTGGAGCTAGGCTCGAGGTCACAGGTGGAAGGCAAATCTGTCACTGGTCCTCTCGTAGGTGGCCTAGAACCCAGTAGGCACTCAAGGCATGTTGACACAAATGAACGAATCCTAGTACCGCCGTATGGCATCTTACAAAGACTGAACGGTGATTATCTTGGGCTAGAAAGTAAAAGAGAGAGCTGCCTACCTAGAGCTTAAGGGGCCTCAGGCTGGCATCCGAAGCCTGGCGATCTCATTCCGCTTTGGCATCATTCTGAATTGCTCTGCCTGAAGCTGGCGCGATGTTAAAGAGAGAAAATGCATGCGAGGAAAATCAGAGAGCAGAGGGTCGGAAACAGATGTGAGCAGAAAGGAACAGCATTTGAAATGAAAGAAAGAAATTGGACTCCCACAGCTGGAAGCACAGACCCCCTCAGCGTCGTCAGGGATGTGGGATAATTTTGCCCTCCCTTTTTTCCCCCCCCCCCCCCCCGTCTTCCACGTTCCCAGGGCGTTTGTTTGATGTCTTTCTCTGTTCGATTACTGGACCCTAAGGACGGACCCAGAGTCAGTAGGTGACATACAAAAATGAACGAATTGAGCGGTTCTTATCACCTCCCTTGCTCCCCCCCGTGTGTCCACAGCGCCTAGCACGTAGTAGGCGCTCCTTAAACATCTGGAGAGCAAATGAGCTGCAAGTTTGCGGCGCTGAGCACGTGGAACTGGGGAAACCAGGACAGCAGAGGAGGGTGTCCCCGACCACAAAAGCCATGCGGGCGCGTGCGGAAGGCTGCGGCGGGCGCTGCCTGCGTGGCGCCCGGGGCGGGGGCGCGGGGGCCCGCGGCAGCACGTGCGCGGTGAGGACGCGGGCCGGGCCGGGTGGGCGCGGGAGGTGTGCCCGCGCCGTGGCCCCCGCGCGTGCGGCTGCCCGGGTGGCGGTGTGAGTCACTGCGGGGCTCGTCTTTATAGCCGCCGGCAGGCTCGCGCGAGACGCCGGCCCGCCAGCCAGCCGCTCCGCGCTCCAACCCGCGCGCCCCCAACGGCCCCCCAACCGCCGCCCAGGCCCGAGGGCGCCATGAGTGGCCCGCGCTGCGCCCCGCTGCTGCTCCTGCTGCTGCTGCTGCCGCTGCTGCTCAAGCCCCCCGCGGGGGACGCCGCCGTCATCACCGGGGTAAGCGGCCCCCGGTGCACCTGTCCGCCCGGGCCGCGCGCGCCCGAGAGGCACCGGGTGGGGGGCGGGGTGGCGACCGCAACGGGGAGGCGGGGGCCACCGGGAGGGTCATCCCGGGTGGGGACTCCTGCTCCAGTCGCCCGTTGGCGCACTTGGAAAAGTGCCCCGCTCCCAAAGCCGCGGACGGCCGGGACATCGGGCGCTCCCTGGAAGAAAAAGTGACCACAGTCTCACCTCATCACCTTCATCACCACCTTCTCCCGCTTGCTTCCCCCTCTCTCCTCGTGTTTGGTCTGTTTTTCTCTTAAGCTGAAAGAAGTTTCCTTTCGCGGTTTTCTCAAGCACTTTCCCCAGACGTTCCAGCCTCTATCCTTAAAATTTTAGTGTCCTGAAATGCAGAGGGGCAAGACCAGTACCCCCAAATCCAGGGAGCCTGAATTCTGTAGTCAAGGGGTTTGCTCCCCGAGGCATCCTCCGCAAAAACCCTTGGAAATAACTTGGTCTGAGGACATATGTGCACTTTGAAAAGCAATGTGGACGCTGCCTTCTGGGTTCCAGGTTTTTTGGTTTGTTTGTTTTTGTTTTTCCAGCGTCCCGAGGTTCTCCCTGTAAAAGTTTTCCACTTCCAGTTATTGATAAAGCACCTCCAGCGCCCTGGCTTAATTATGGAGTAGGTTGCCATGTAGATGTTGCAGTTTAGAGAGATGTCTTCATCATTTGTACAAGTAGGAACTAGTTCAGTTCTCTTCTGCGTCCACCAACAGTTTTCTTTGTGTGGATCCGAAGGATGAGTTTACAGCACAAGATAAAAATGTCTAGTCTTCGTCAACAATGCAAAATCGCTACCATTTCCTGCTTGTTAAATGCTTTACTCTTCTTTTTTAAGTCTGAAATTATTTTACACCTCCATTAAATTATTTCAGATATCTAAGCGCACACAATAGGGTTTAAATAAAACTTCTGTGTTTGAAATGATGATACACAGATAATGAAATAACATTTAAATTTAAGGGAAATGTCATTGTCTTGAGAAAATTAAGCTCTGTTGTCTCCATGTTAGTTAATAGGCTTATAGCACATTGAAAGTCCTCATACTAGAACAGTATGTGGTTACAGCCAATAGATATTTGGGTGACAGCCAAGAGATGCTTAATTATAAGCATTGTGATATTTATTAGAATAGTTTGTAGAGATTTTTACAAATGTATTTGAATAGCTTTGTCAGTCCCTGTGGTTGAAAAAGAGTTTTTACAGGTCTTTCGAATACATGAGAATTGAAACCTGATGAGTTTCTTTTCGCCCTCTTCCCCTGCTGGCTCATTTTAAATTTCTCCTAATCCTCTGAGTCCCAGATTCCTTTGTGATATAAGTATCTTTTTGTTCCATTCACAAGACAACACTATTTGAATAGATCAGCAGTGGGTTAAATATGAAGGGCATTAGGAAACAGCTGTCTAATTAAAAATATATAAACCTATGCAGTTCTTTGTATGTCTGAGAACTGAAGCTTTTTGTGTTACAAAATGAAATTTTATCACATTGAATGTTTATCTGTTAAGGTTTAGACTGGGCTTATTATATAATGATGTGTGCTGTTTTTCTTGTTGTTTTAAATCAGTGCTACAAAAAAAAAAGAATTTAAAAAATTTCTCTAAAACAACATGGCAATAAAGAAATGTAGTTATGTTTCCATGACAGGAACCATCTGGAGTCAAATAAAAAAACTCAATAACTTATCTAGATATGTCATCTCTAGGCTGTTAAACGTCCAAGTGATTGGCTGAATTTTAAGAGATTTTGGCTGAATTTTGATTGTCTTATTAAAAGAGCTAGTGGGGCTTCAGAATTCCTGCTCTTGAGCATCTGTTGAAGTAAAATATTGCCTGAAACCTCCACCTTAAATATTTACTTTTGGGGGGGGTAGTATATGTAGTTATTTTTAAATTGATTTATATGGCCACATAAATTTGTTAAAGCAGTATTGGAAAAGATCGTGTATTGAACGTCTCATTTATGGAATGTAAAATGGCTACATATGTGTGATTTCTGGCATTCAAATAAAAATTGGAAAAGTGGGAATGTTTATATATTTTCCTATAAATGTTCAAATACCCCAAGATGAAAATTGTAGTTTCAATCCAGATATTTGTTTTAAATAGCTCGAGAAAAAATTCTTATGGAGGAAAGAAAACCAACTCTAAAACAAGATAGCTGATCACTTTTAACGAAAAAATAGTGAATAAGAGTGTGCCCATATATTTCCATTTTGAGAAGTTATAGCTGTCCCCAAAACCAAGAACTCTGAAGAAGTGTTTTAGTTGTTTCCATGAAATCTACATTTAAAATTTGTGTCTAAATTATACACTTTTTAGTTTCTTACGTATATAGTACAGGATGCTTTTACCTTATCACTAGCAAAACATTACTGCACACCATTGAGACAAAGCATCCTATTTATGGTTGGTTTAGGAGAGAAGAATAGTTCTTCAGATCTATTTTCATGCAAATAAGTTTAGACTTCATTATTTACTTCTACTTAGTCAAGTATGGAAATTCTTCCATAGTTAATTCTTTGATTATATGTATTTACAATTTTTTATATCAGGAACAACAGTCTTGAGTAATCACTGTTGATAATTGCATCTGTCGCTTGCATTTCTAAATCTGATGGATCTTATAGGATAGTTCAGGTAATTTTGTAATGTACACATATGTATATCCTAAGCCAGTAATTTCCTTTTTGCAGGTTACTCACCCGGAAAAGAGTAATATAAGGCAAAAACTCTTGGTCTGTCCATTCTCAACCTGTGAGATTTCTTTCTTTCAAAAGGAAATGGTGAAAATCAAGTCAGTGGTGTGAGAAACATCAAATCTCGTGAACCAAAATGCAAATATTTGAAAGAGAAAATGAGTAGTATTTCAAAAATCAACATCAGTGCCTTTATGGGTCTGGAGCATTTCATGCCAGATTTAGAGACCATTTAAATCCCTTTCTAAAATCGGGCCCAATGTATTCTGCAGTTAATAGTTATAAAATCTTGTGATTCGATTTATGGAGTTCCTAATGGCCATGTATGGTAAAAGACTAATATAGACACGTTCTTCAAATTCAAAGCTGGTTCATCCATAAAGCGCAAGAAAAAGAGAGCTCATTTTGTTTTTTAAAAATCTTGTGGTTTAAGATTTTCATAATGTGTGGGCCATTACTTAGGTGATTTTTTTTTTTTTTTTTTAACCCAAGTGGGAAAATCACTTCTGGTCAGATTTTGTTGTAAATGTGTTCAAGCAAATGAAGATAACAGTTCTTTTTTTATATGTAAGATTCTTAAAATCATAGCGGTGGGATATTAAAAGGGCATTTTTTTTTTTACTGCTAATTTTAGATCCCCTTAGCCTGAGTCATTCCTGTTATCTGTATTTATGTGTTTGCTTATTACATTTCAGGCCTGCGACAAGGACCCCCAGTGTGGTGGAGGCATGTGCTGTGCTGTTAGTATCTGGGTTAAGAGCATACGGATTTGCACACCGATGGGCAAAGTGGGAGACAGCTGCCATCCGCTGACTCGTAAAGTTAGTATATATATTTGTGTTCTTGGTGCTTCTCTTACATTGCAGTAACTCAACTCTGAGCAACGCCTGTGTGACATGAAACCCAGGGTAACGTGCTAGAAGTTGGGAATCAGAAGTTGAAGTGGAAAACCACTTCCTCACTCCTTTCCCTTTCCATTTCAGAGAATTGTATCCTTTACCATCCTTATTCTATTAATCATTTACATATCATGCTTCTCGTGGCATTAGAAGCATTTCATGAAAATAATTTCAAACACTTAAATTTGCTTTAAAAAATTTAGGATATATATATATACTGCGTATGCTTCTTTGCAGAAATCAGAGTATGCACACTCTTAAAAAGACGTTTAACGTCAGACCTACCAAAAAGGCAGAAGTAAATAAGTTTGTGTTTTGGTTTTTGCAGAAAATCATCCATGATGCAATCACTCTTGTATCTTAACTTGAAAGCCCTCTATTTTGACTCTCTCCACAGGATGCCTTGTTCACAACCGTGGAGGTTCATGATATTTAACGTGCCAGTTTATTATCTAACAGCTCAATATCACAATGCCCTGAACGCCACTTTTGAAAAGTGACTGCCAAGAAGTGGCAGGACCAATGGCAGGACTGGGCAGGGCTTTAGAGGATGTGTCCCCAGGGGTTGCAGACTCTCCTGACTGCAGGGGTCGGGCAGCTGTACGTGACATCTGGAAGGGGGTGGGTGGCAGGCAGGAGAGAGCAGAGAAGTTTGTGGAGCCTGGAGAATCCTTGCCCTTCAGATTCAAAACGTTTGAAATACAGTATGAGTACAGCCAGATCCCCCAGGGATGCCAGGTTGCAGGTGCCTTGCTCTTCTAGTGGTACGTCTTCATTTACCCAACAGTTACGTGGGGTGCAGGGGCAGGGATGTGTGCTGAAGGACAAGTCCCAGGCCTGGTGGCTCGTTGGCGGCGAGTTCAGTCACCTGCAGTGTTCTCTCTACACGTGGTATCCTCTCGTCTTAAAATAAGTTGAATGTTTTCAAAGCAAGCTAGATTCCACCTTCTGCTGCTTCTTTTTATTTTTTATTTTTTCCCACATGCGGCTTAGGGTTTAAAACTGTAGTAGTGCCAAACATCTTTCCCGTCCTCCAGAGTTACAGATAACAGCTAATATTTTGACTCTCTTGGAATGAAATAAGGAAGGACGTATATTGGCTTGGGTTTCGCTCTGTGCGCTGTACTGGGGACCCTGGTTGATTGGACCCATCTGAAGACGGCATTGGGCTCTTCTGTGGTTTCCTTGAGAAACACTTCCTGTTGTGTTTAGACCTTTCCTCCCCGTGAGCCGGTCTTGTCGTTTGTAAGCATGATATGCACCTTTTATTCTTGGCCATTTTGAGACAGGAAATGTTTTAAACCATTAGTTGCCTGGCTCTGTGCCAGACTCTGCCCCCTCCCCGTCCCCATCCCAGGTGGGGAGGGATGGTGAAGCCCCAGCCGCCTTTGACCTTGATCTCAGTTTTTATCATCTGCCTTATCCAACGGGAGTCATCTTTTGTCCATTGGAGTCGCTGTTGCTGAAAAGTTGACTCTTAACTCACCCCCCTTTAAGACTTACGTTGTCTTCGTACAGTGTTAGTATAACCTCACGTATGCCCCAGGTACAAGAATCTCAGGGCCAGTTTGCTAAAGCGAGTGAAGAGTGACACATTCTGGGGGACTATTTTTGTATGAATCGCAGTACTAGTTGCCGTTCGTTGGATGCAGTGGTGTACCAGACACTGGATACTAAGTGTTGTGGATGTGTTTCTCACGGTAATACTCACAGGAAGCCTGCGAAGAAAGATTTACTTTTGTCCTATTTTCCGTGCAACAACGTTCAGCCGCAGAGGGGCTCAGTGAGTGGCTGAGGTCCTGAGGTGATAGGTCAGAGGGCAGGCTGTGGATTTCACTTCTGTCTGATGCTCCATTGTCTGTATGGTCTTAACCACTATATTCTTCTACTTCCGTGAAAGCTGTCGTCGTGTTTAATTTGAACATGTTTTTCAGTGCAGTTAACCCGAACTGGTTTGTGTGGGGAAGATGCTCACTGAGATGAGGGACAATGGTCCAGAGTTGGCCCCTGTCTCATCCTGTAGTTCCGATGAGTTTTCCAAATCTGACATATTTTGACAAGAGAACCAGATTCTGCCTCCCTGGGTTCCTCTAGTTTCTAGTTGAGGTTTAGTGCAAGGTCAGTTCTGAAAGGAAACAAAGTCATTCTCCTGCCGTAAACCCAGGGACATCTCTGTGCTGTGTTTTTATCACACTTACTAACGAAGTCTATAATAACCGAGTAGGGTTTTCCTAATAGAATTAAGTGATAAAAGAACTGAAGGACTGAAAAAATAAGATTTTAATGTCAGATCTGAACTTACCCCCTTGTCAGATGCCCACTTGAAATGTGTTTCTAGACCTCAGTGTTACAGCTTTTCATATTGGTTTTTTTTCTGTCTTGAAAACACATTTTCATAGGTCATTTCAATGACCGAGTTCTAGTCCCAGAGTTGTTACTTGTCTTGGGCGAAATTTATCCCGGTGAAAATCTAGTTCTTCCAGAGTATCTTTCAATTATATTCTATTCAAAACAACTCAAGAACAAACATTTTTTAATAAACATATCCTGGTGAAACTCCACTCTGAAGTTTTAGAGCTCATTAGTAGATGGTAAAAACATAGATAGAAAATTCTTTTTAATGCGATGTGTTTATTACTTTTACCTCCCTGTTTTCTTTTTGTTTGGTTAAAAAATAAAGTGGGTTAACTCTGACTGTGGTGCCAGGTATTGGTGCTTTAAAAACACGGGCTATGAATAGGTGAGGACTACACCTGCTCAAATTTTAAACTTTCCATTCTGGTTTGGTCTTGACATTAGCCACAGGTGTTTGTTTATTTTGATAAAGTGAACAGTATTTGATGAATGAAACTGAGACCTTTAAGTAGAAACTGGAGGCCCCTGAGTTTATTTTACTGTTTTGTTTCTCAGATGTATCAATTAACTTGTAGAGTTTACAGTCACTGCTAGGCTACGGTTTTGTAATTGTAAAGTTTTTAACTTCACATTTGATAATTCAAAAATAGAACAAAATATGTCTACTTAAAAAGAATGGGATGCATGTTTTCTAAACACATTTTTAGGCAAATAATAGTTTTAACATGTATTGATTTTTAACAATTAGTTTTTTAACAATTAAGAATGCATTACTAAATCGTATGTCTACTGGGAATACTTTGCTGTTTAAGAAATATTCGTTTCTATTAATACCCACACTTTTAGAGTTTATAAAGATTAGCCATGTCCATCCCATTCTGATTACCCCTTGGCTTTGGAAGTTTAGAATTATGTGACTAGTACTTTTATTCTTATTGCTTATTATTTTATCAAAAAATTTTAACAACTATGTTTCCTTCAAACAATTAATCTTGTTTTTAAATTACATTCCATTTTTTATGTTAACATTTTTAGCCCTCATTTTGGTTTTCTATTTTTATTTTTGAGCTGCACTTTAAAACTTGACTAATACATTTTCCTTTTCTGAAGCAAAAAATTTCTGATTAAAACCTGGGTCTTGTTCATGTTAAAAAAAAAAAAAAGGAAGAATTAAAAAGTTATTAGCTGTTTCTATTTCAGAACCAACTTATGGTGAAACATTATAATTTCCGAATAGAGTATAAATTTTTTTTTAATATTGACTAAAATATAACTAATATAAGTGCAAAATTTAGCGAAAGATGGGTGGAAGAAACAAAGTATGCTCATTTGCTGTCACAGATGTCAGGAGCCACTGTCTGCATTTGCTCTCTCAGGACAGCTTCATGCCCATGATTACAGGTTCAGATTGGCAGAGAGACTCACAAGACATGAATATGCTTTAGGTTAATACGGGGTTTCTCAACCTGGGCTCTTTTGACATTTTAGACTGGATGACTCTTTGTTGTAGGAGCCGCCCTGTGCATTGTAGGATGTTTATTAGCAGCAGCTCTGGCCTCTACCCCCTAGATGACAGTAGCACCCCGTCCCAGTTGTGCCCACCAAAAGTGCCGCCAGACATTGCCACATGTTCCCTGGGGGGGGAGGACGGGGGTGTTGGAGGCGGCTGGAATCACCCCGGTTGAGCACACCTGTCTAATACTTCATTTACTTAGCCTTACAGGACACAGCGTAGGAAGTACAGCATCTTCGCCTCCTTGGGAGCTCATCAGCTCCCCGAGCACACAGCTTCTTTTGCCCTCTCGTCCACACAGGTGCTGTGGCTGCCATACATGATTGCCAGGGTGTGTGTGTGTGTCGGGGGTGTCCTCTTGACTCATAGAAACTACCACTCATTTCTTGCAAATCTTTTATGATCCCCCTAGTTCCAGAGGCTCAAGGCTCCCCCAACTCAAGTGCAGTTTCACCCAACCAGTGAGGCTGACCCACCATCCCCTGCTTTTCTTTACTTTCTCTGCGGACACACTGCAGTGGGAGGCCCAGGTCCATGTCAGGTCGGCCTCCATCAACCCAGGCCCCAGGTTAACCCTCTACTCACAGGATGGGAGCAGATAAAGTACTGCATGATTTAGGGTTATGTGAGTATATACCTACTCCAAAAAGATTAGAAGAAACAATTTAGAACTTTACCAAATTAAGATACGGTGGCACTCTGCACAGCTATTACAACCAGAAGCTGTGGGACTTGTCATTTTTATTTTATGCACTGTTATACCATTTGAATTTTTTTGAGCTGTGTACTTCTATTGAAAAAGTTGTAACAAGCCTGGTTTTATTAAGATTAAAATTATAATAGGGCCAGTACTTTTTATGTCACGTGACTAGGCTTTTCTGCACGTGTCCCATTATGTTTCCTTCTTTTACACAATTGACTCTGTTTTGAGAGACAGCACGAATAATACTTCTGTTTCATATCAGGACTGCTTTCTCTTTAAAAGTGCTGCGAATGTATTGGGAATCATGCCTTCTCAAGAGTGCTGAAGGTTCTACCTCGGTAACTTCTAGAATTTGCTGGTTGGAAACCTAGACTATTAGAAACATTGGCTTGAGTGTATAGTTGATTCTAAAGTAAACCATCAAGTTGGTACTGAGTGATGAGCTCCTTGGGTACATCTGAAGATGCATCTTCCATGAACACTTTCTCATGCATGTGTGACTGTCAGACACCTATTAGGTTTGTCATACAGTGAATGTAGAAGTAGCAGTGAATGGACCAGTCAAGAAACGGGCAAGTTATCTATGGGGTGTATCGTGTCAGAAGTCGTGGTCTGTGTGGTTAAGAGCTCATAGATGGAGGAGAAAACTGCTACAGGCTGGTCCAGTGAGGAAGGGCTCAGAGGAAGGAGGGAGAAACACAGACTGGATCTTGAAAAAGCATAAAAATAAGAAAAGGGCGTTCAGGTATAAAGGGACCTGCAGGACAGTCTAATCATTATGTTAAGGTCAGTTGGAGCAGATCTAGGTTGACGCTTCCACAATCTTGGTGCTCTCAGTAAGAAAAAGAATAACACAAAGATATTTTTGAAGGTTTCACAAAAGCACACGACCTAGTGAGCACGTTGCCAGGGCCCCTCCTAGACCCTGGAGGGACCCTATGTAAGCGAGAGCCTTTGGCTTCCGAGTTTGGTGGCATTGATCAGTGCCAGGCAGGGGGGCTCGGGGTGAAGGGGGAGCTCCAGGACCTGAGAAGGTCACCCCTTTACCTCCAGGGAGGTCACAGCCTGTGGTGGGCGCAGGAGATAGGACACACTCGAGAAAATATTTGTTAAATGCCTGTGTGCCAAGCAGAGTGCTGTGTCCTCGGAGACAAGAGTCCCTTTCTTCCCAGAGCCTGGAGTCTGGGCCTGGTGGTATTTGGAAGAAGATGGAGCTGGGTTTGACTGTGACACGTTCCTTTTCTAGCTGGGTGACCTCAGTCAGGTGCGTTAATTCACCTCAAGAGCAGGCCACTTGGCTTGTGTCAAAACGAGGCAGAAATCTGGCTCCCGCTTTGGTGTGACATTCATACATGATGCCTTGGTGTGGCCCGGCCCGTGGCAGGCCGCCAGCGCTAATTTCTTTTTTCTGCTACTTTTGCTGAGGACGACCTACGTGACAAGCCAAAGAGTGACCATGGTGTCGAGATGCACAGAGCACCACACTGAAACCAAGAGGGCACTTCTTCTGAGTACCTGAAACTGTCTTACTGGGTATCTGTCATTAAAATTTACGTTCCATGAAGGGCAGCGGCCTTTCCTGTTTGGTTCGTCACTGTATCTGCAGACCTAAAGTAGGGTCTGATATGTTGGTGACACTCAGTAAATGCCTGTTGAATGAATGAATAAAAGACACATGCTTGGCGTTCTCCATGGATACAGTTTGACACCCTTATTACAGTTGGAGCTCACTTGTTCCAGGCTCCTTGGATATCGCTGTCTGTGTTCATTTTTCTCAACCTCAGCACCGTTGACATTTTTTTATACCAGATAATTCTTTGCTGTGGGTACTGTCCCCTGACTTGTGGGATGTTTAGCAACATCCTTGGCCTGTAGCCACTGGGGGCCGGTAGTGCTGCCCCCTCCCCTCATTTGTGACACACAAAAATGTCTCTGGACGTTACCAGATGTCCCCTGGGGGGCTGGGGGCAGAATCACCCCAAATTGAGAACCATTGGTTCGTGTAGTCGTTTGGGGCTTGGTGAAAGGAATCTCTCAGATCTCAGGGTCACGAAAGGATCATAAAGGTCATGAGTTATAGCATCTCATACCATCCACTTGTAATTGTCCAGGCCATTCCTGCTGCCTCCACCTCCTCTGACATAGTCTCGATGGCAACAAATGAGCCAGCTATCCGTGGGCCTTTCGACACACACAGTGACAGAACCATTCTAGCATGCGTCTGCATGGAGCCGATGGCCAAGGTGCCCCCGAGTAGACGCTGTCATTAAAGCCTTGAAAATAATGCTCTTGCAAAAAGACAACGGAACTGGAATGGCTCAGCCTGTTCACCTCATACCTCCCCTGCCGTCCTACTGCTTCCCTTTCTTCCCTGTGTATTTATGATCTCAACCATCTCCCTGGCCCTTCCAGAACCATTTTGGAAATGGAAGGCAGGAAAGAAGAAAGAGGAAGAGAAGAAAAAGGAAAAAGGAGGTAAGAAGAACACGAGCATGGGAGCACCCAAAGATAATGCCCAGAGTAATCAGCCTTGACTGTTGTTGGACACCCATAGAATTGGGTCCATCCAATTCTATGGGTCATTCTATGGGTCATCCAGTGCAACCTAACAATAAGGTTAGAATGGTTCTGTCACTGTCTGCAGACAGCCTTTTGTTTGATGTATAAAGAAATGATTTAGAGGGCATCTGGAAGATGCATCTCAGATTTTCTCCTAAGGACAGATTACTGGTGTGGGGCGGCCTCTTTTGGTGGAAAGAATAGGAAATACGCTAGAATGACACCAAAGAGTTGGGAGGCGGGAAGGATGCATTTCCGTGCCTTGCAGAAACTGTAGAAGGATAGCGGAGGCGTGAGCCTGTAAGAACTGGCCTCTCTCATATTACCCTGGATCGGGTAATTTGCCATCCCATTTCATTGAATATCCATTGCCTCCAGGCCTGGGGTTAAACTTTCTCCCTATCACTTGCAAAGCATGCAGGTTCTCAAGAGGGCACCACCCCTACAGGGGGAAGAATGGTTTTTGCTGTTTGCCTCTAGAAAGCATACGTGTTTTGAGGGTCCTCCACTTGCCGCGGCACAGAGAACCACCACCCCAGTTGCTGGTTGACCCTCCTCAACCCAGCTTCACCCAAGACATGAGCAGGGCTCTTAGAAATAGCAATTGAACAGCTCTTGGAATGAAGCTGACCTTTCACTGCTGGTTCTCCCTAAGCCCAGGTTTGCTTTATTGCATTTCTGCAAATCGAGCTTGCCTCCTTCCCTAATTTTACTCTTATTATCCCCTTGCCCCACCCAGAATTTTGACTTCGTCTCACATCTTTTTTTTTGGTGGTGGGGGGGAGGAATGGTTTCTGGGGGTTTTTTTATAGATTTTTTCTGGGGGGGGGCCGCGCTGTGCGGCTTGTGGAATCTCAGTTCCCTGAGCGGGGATTGAACCCAGGCCACAGCAGTGAAAGCACCAAATCCTAACCACTAGACCACCAGGGAACTCCCTCACATATTTGCACAAATGTATGAATTTATATATTTCTCATTATCAGTGAATTTTTATTTGCTCACAGTATACATGTGGTTGTGCCCATAGTGTTATGTTCTTCTCAAGGAGCTGCAGTCACAGGACACTCTAGAAAGAATTAAAATGAGAACAAGTAGAAGGCAGTGTAGCTTGCTGGTTAAAAGCTTGGTCCCTCAGCTCCCCCTGCCAGCCAAGCTTCAAGTTCTGGATATGTGACCTTGGGCAAGCTCCTAATCTCTCTGTGCCTCAGTCTCTTGTCTGTAAAATGGGTAAATTAAAGTATTTGCCATCTTCACAGAGTGGTCGTAAGGATGGAAAAGGATAATACATAAAAAAAATGCTGAGCCTGTTGTTTGATGAATAGTTAATACTCAGTAAACACTAGCTATTATTATTCAAAGAGATTTCTCAACAAAGTTTTTGTTTTTTTAACATTTCCTGCTCTGACTCAGTTTTCTTTTTTATTTTAGGTTCCATTTTTTGGACGGAGAATGCATCACACGTGTCCATGCCTGCCCGGCTTAGCCTGTTCACGGACTTCTTTTAACCGATATACTTGTTTAGCCCGAAAGTAACCACTTTAGAGGAGAAACTTTAAGTGTGAACAGCCACACGATGTCCGTAAAGTCTGTTTACCTGTGATTGTGCCAAACAATTAATATGCCAGAAAGAAATGCTATTGCTTCCTCAACTTTCCAAGTAACGTTTTCCTCTTTGATTTTTTTTTTTTTTTTTGCGGTACGCGGGCCTCTCACTGTTGTGGCCTCTCCCTTTGCAGAGCACAGGCTCCGGACACGCAGGCTCAGCGGCCATGGCTCACTGGCCCAGCCGCTCCGCGGCATGTGGGATCTTCCCCGACCGGGGCTCGAACCCGTGTCCCCTGCATCGGCAGGCGGACTCTCAACCACTGCGCCACCAGGGAAGCCCTCCTCTTTGATTTTTAAGTGATGTGTTACTTTTCTTTTTTTTTTAATCGAAAGCGGATTTATGTTTTGTATAGAAATGTAAAGTGCAAGGCATTATGGAGCCAGTTCTCATTCATTTCCCTGTTTGTGTTTTGGTTTGGCTTTTTTTTAATGCCAATAACTTGTCCATTTTCACAGAAGTGCGGAGAATAGGAATTTGATATTTTGGTACAGAAACTTTCTTTTTCTTAAAACACCCCCTGCCCCACTGCGTGTGCACACATGCACACACACGCGCGCACACACACACACACACATACACACACACACACCTTGGTCTCTTTCCCTCACTCCTCAGTGAGTTTTAAGACTCTCATTTTATTGTTTGGCATTTCCCTCTGAGCCTCTAGCATTTTAAAGTGGGGATCCACATCCTTGAGCTTGCTGGCAGAATCACTGATGAGAATCAAGCTTTTTGCCTGATACTTAAACAGTGAAAAGAATGTGTAGTTGAACTAGACCCCCCAAACTTCTCTTATATGGAGTGGAGGCAGGGGTGCTTCTGCACTTTAACTGGACCTGCTTATGCAAGTGGGTTTCAGGTCTGCAGTTTGACTAGTATGAGGACAGAAAGAATGGGAAGTCAAATTAATTTAGTCCAGATTTCTAGATTTGGGATTTTTTAAAAAGACTTTTCCAGTATAATATTACATTTATTTCTTTTCCTTTTTATAAAGTTGCTTTTTTTTTTAACGAAAGTCTCCTAGTTAGAAATGTTCTAGAAAATGTCACTTGAAGAGGAAGTATTGATTTTAATCTGGCATAACACTAGTTATCATTTTTAAATCGGTGTTAAGTTGTCATTTAAACTTTATTTGTAGCCCAAAGGTCTGTTGTAATGGATTGCCTGACATCCTGTCATTTGTACCTGTATCAATATTGCTGTGTAAAAATTCTGTATCAGAATAATGATGGTACTCTATATCATTTGATTTATTTTTAATATCATATGCTTATTTTTGTCACAGCTGTCAGTTGGTATTACAAGCGGATTTCTATATAGCCCACGTTCTAAAATGGGTAAAGACTCCAAAGTCGGTAATATAGTACTAACAGTGTGTAAGTTTTCATTTTACGTACTGGAAGGCTCTGTTTGCATGAGTTTTAAGGTAGTATAAAAATAATGTGTTACATCAGTGAGGTTTTGGAGCATGAAGGAAAATTATGACATGCAAAACTGACTGTAATCAGGAATGGACTCACAGGACTTCACTGTCTTGATTCAGCCAATAGTAACAGGGTGTTGATCACGGGTTGGTTAGGCAGGGTGCTAGGTGCTGGCCGTACGGCGATGCCAGTGTAGCCTGGCCTTGAAAAACCCACCAAGTGTTGTAAATGGATTCAACGTTGCAAATAAACAACTTCTGGAATGTGTTTAACTGACTAAAGTGGCCGTGCTAACCCACTAACAGTTGCAAAAAAAAATTGTCCATTTTGTAATTATTTATTCAGCCAGGGCTTACAAATGCACATTATGTGTAACTTTACCTCTGGAGTAACGTGTCCCATGAGTGTATAGGATTTTGCTGTACTAAGTGTCATAGTTGGTCATAGAAGGATTAATTTTGGTTCAGTTTAGTTTGGGTTCAAGAAACGTTCCTTGGTCAGTTTGTTGGATAAGAAAAATAGACTTCAAGTGGAGTTATGGGTAATTTTGCTCAGTGCTCTTTTTATATAACGTTCAACATGTCCTTTTTCGTAAGTGGTGAAAATTTGATTGGGTCCATCATCTGTTTCCCCCCAGGTTAAAAGACATATAACTTTTATAAAATTTTGCTTTTATATATATCAACTTAATATTTTAAATCGCTACCTAAAAACTTAGACTACATGTACACAGCCAAGAGAACAAATGTGAAGCTTGTGTAGAAAACTTAGAACTGTACCTACTGACTCACTACGATCCAAAGAAAAACAGAACTTTGTCATTTGTTACCTCTCTCCATCGTCATTATTTTTATTGAGGAGTGTACCCTTCTATTTGGTTATTATTTTTTAACTTGTTACCAAAGTTAGCACCTATCAAACCATTGTTTCAAAAACCTTGTGATCATGCTTCATGGAGAGCCTTTAAAATAATTCTGTGCAAAGCACACAAAGTCTTGGGCTATAAAGATGGTGGTGCTGTTTCTTCCAGTCCCCGGGACAATCTCTCACTGAAGCTGGAACTTCGTAGGCCAGAATTTCTAAAAGTAAGGTAAAGTGAGAATTTATGCAAGAAAACTTAAGTCAACTATCTAGTCTGATATAAATATTGTGAATGGATTCCATGCTTTCTAAGGTAGAAATAGACCTTACGCCAGCAGCTACTGACCAAACTCAAATGGACCTTTGGATTTCTTGGCAAACATTGATTTTCATGAAAACTGTCATGTCTGACTTGAGCCTTTTTTTAAGAGCAGCATTTTTTTTAACTGTAGAAAAGTGTGTGCCAAAACTGTGCCCTCACAAACCCGGTTATCTAACTGAAGACCTTCATCCTTCCCGGCATATCCCTGTGTCTTTTGTTGGAGCTTTACCAAACCAGACGAGTGATAGGTGAAACACATAAACAGACTTTACTCATCATTGGTTCTATCATCAGAAATCTCACCCGACTCTTTTCTCACTTCATTTTTCACAAGATTACAAAGTCAGGCACCGTTTTAATGGTTTTTCACAAGTGGTGTTTTCTCACGTGACTGGGAACAGGCCTGTTCCCTAGAGACAGTACTGAGGCTGGCATGAGTGTGTGTGGTTCATTCTTCAAAGCAAACAAGCAAAACAATAACTTCTTATGGAAATTTTTAAACATCAACAAAACTAAACCAAATTGTATGAGGAAGCCTCTATCTCCATCATGCAGCTTCTTACCAATAATTATCTCCATGCCAGTCTTGTTTCACCTCTACCCACCTCCCACCCCACCCTCAAACCTTCACCTCTCCTGTCTTGTCTCGAATCAAATCAGTTTCGTCCCTTCTCCATAGGGTCCACTGTGAGATGGACAGGCACAGCCTTGTGTGTTGGTAGTAACATCAATCCTTCTTCTTTTATGATGGCTCTCTGCTTAGATGTTGCCAAGGCCCTTTCACTGATCAGCCTGTCCTCCTAAACATTTCCTCTTAAGATATATTTTTGAAATCTCAAGTTGGAGTTCAAAATGGAGGAGCAAAATATTTTCAGACCCAGGATGTGCATATATGAGTGAATATTTACTCTTGTATAAAATTTTAAAAGAAAATGTTTGCTGCTCAAAGTAAGAAATTTTCACAGTAATATTGCTAACTATGTATTGTGATTGGGTTCTGGGAGTTAAATGTTGTCTGCTATCGTTAGTCCGTGGGACAACTGATGTTAAATATTCCCTGTTAATTCTCCCGGATTCGGTTAGGGAGGGGGAAAATCCCTGAATGGAAGGTATGGCTGGTAGACTCCAATTGTCTTCCACAATTCATTCATCCATTCTCAGATTCTCTCTCTCCCCCCGCCCCTCCCCCGTCCCTCTCTCTTTTCTCTCTTTCCTCCCTCCCCCCCTCCCTCCTTTCTCCCTTCTTTCTCTCCCTCCCCTTGCCCCTCCCCCAAGACGTTTTACCTGGGTACCGGGTCACTCTTCTGGACATCTAGAGACTGCATTTACCAGCAACCCTTAGCCAGATGTGACTTAGCAATGGAGCGTGGGCAGAAGTGATATGCCTCACTGCCTTAAAAGTAAATTGCAGTCCCCTTCCTCTCCAGCAGGGAGATGCAGCAATGAATCTGGCTCCTTTGGACCCAGAGAGTGAAGGTAGGGCTAACCCACCGGTGGGTCACTGAACGACTTCCTGAAGCAGTCACCCAGCAGCCCAGAGAAGCAGTTCAGCCACTCCGATTCGAGGGCTCTGTTCAAACACTTCCGCTTCTCCCCTAATCAATATGAACGGAATCATTTTTTCAAAAGTGCATCATTTGGTTAATACCTCTTTCTGTGATCTTAAAAACTTTGTTCTGGTGTTCTTGCACAGTGAGTGGTTGCCCTGCAGAAGGTGGACTCAACCCCCAACCCCCCAAATTGGTTTGGATGTTGGGACAGATGCTGCCACACACACTGGAAAGACGTGACGACATTGATGACTCACGTCGTGGGATTTTCTGGTGAGAACAGAGCAGGTGTACGTCAGCCCAAAGTGGCAAAAGCAAGGCAGTTTGGTTCGTTTTAGCTTTTATTATGGTCAGGAGGCAGGGCTGGGTGAGAATTCCTACCTGCTGGGGTGGGGAAGAACAGAGAGGAGAGTGTGAGGCTGGAGTGTGGTCAGTGCTTAAACATCCAGAATGGAGTTTTCATGTTTATTGCAGTCCTGAAAACAATATCATAATGAGAAACTGATAACCAAATGGAAGAAGAATCTTCAAATCAGAAATGGTTAAATTCACATTCTTTGGTCACAAGAGCATTCCTTTTCCATACACTAGGAAAATGTGTAAATGTATTTTTTTTTAATTTATTTTGGCTGCGTTGGGTCTTTGTTGCTGCGCGTGGGCTTTCTCTAGTTGTGGCGATCGGCGGCTACTCTTCGTTGCGGTGCGCGGTGCAGTGGCTTCTCGTTGCGGAGCACGGGCTCCAGGCACGTGGGCTTCAGTAGTTGTGGTGCACGGGCTCAGTAGGTGTGGCATGAGGGCTCAGTAACTGTGGCTCGCGGGCTCTAGAGCGCAGGCTCAGTAGCTGTGGCGCACGGGCTTAATTGCTCCGCGGCATGCGGGATCTTCCCAGACTAGGGATCAAACCTGTGTCCCCTGCTTTGGCAGGCGGATTCCCAACCACTGCACTACCAGGGAGGCCCCTAAATGTATTTCTTGATGCTACTGTTTCAAACTCAAATATGTCATCTACCCACGGATTAAGAAATTTGGGAGACAGAGTCACTGAGGCTCATTACAACGCAAATTTTCTTATGACGTTTAGATGAATTTTAATCTCACCAAGAGGTGCTAGAAAAAAAAGAATAAACTTCAAAAGACAGACTTTCAGTGAAAGAAGCTGTTTTTCCAACGAGCAAAAAGTAAAGTAACATGCCGTTAGCAGAAGACTAATCACGCCTTTGTATAATTGTGTTCCTTTTAATAGAAGCAGGTATTAAATATATATCTAAAGGTGTTGAATTCTAATATCTTTTTAAAACTTATAAAGTAACTTACAAATTAAAAAAAAATCTTTTGTCAGACCACATGTCACCCTACTCATAAAGGATTAGAACAATTATGCAAATCAAATTCTAGAAATAGCTTTGGTATCCCATAATTCCTCAAGATAGATATGCAAATGAACTGGATCGTGACTGTGGGTTAAAAGAATTACACACTATATGGTTAAACTCTTTAGTATGTCACTCTCCAGAATGAATACCTGTGACAGGGGTTCCTTCCTATCTGTTCTGACTTTCTTTTTTTTTTTAACATGTTCTTTTTTTCTTCTGCTAAGCACATTGCAATGCAAATTGGTCAGGACTCAGGGACTATGGGGGAAAATATAACGGGGTGGGGGGGGAATAAATATGTTAAATGAAAAAGGCGAGGACAAGTTTCATCCCCTCATGCATTTAAAATTTTATGATCTCTAGAGAATATTTTAATAAGGCATGTATTAAGTCAGCGTTGCAACTTTAATAATTTTTCAAAGCCTTTCAAACTTACAGCACATCTACGTATCTTCAAGAAAGTGAAACCATTTATTGCACCCTCCAGGTTCCAACACAGGTTCTAACCGAAAAACAGTGTGTGCTTCTCAGATATCACATCCTGGCAGAAAGCAAGATTTTCATCCCAGAAAGCTACGCAGACTGGCATAACTCAGGTAATAAAAATATCTCGAGTGATGTTTTTAAATATACACTTTCCTACCAGTTTACATCTTCTCTACCCAGAATAGGCTGGCCACTTAAAACTTAATTTGTAAATGACTAAATTATTCCTCCTAGAAGCCAAGTGGTAAAACAGCTTTAATGTACTTGTCTCCTTAATGTTACTGAGAAATAAGACAGTTGCATTTATGCCTTGACGTTGCAGCATAAAACATTTGTGCATGTTTTCTGTGTGTAATTTGAAGTGACTTTGAGTCTTCAGGCTTTCAGATATAAATTTCAGGCTGTTTATTTATCTTAAATGCCTGCAACCAGTATATAGGGTGAATCGAATACTTACTAAGATTTCTCTTCTCCTTTTCCCTTGAGCAAAAGCTCGAAATACCTTTTTCTGTAGGGTGAGCCTGCTACTCCTCCTTCCTTTGGAAAGAGAGGAGAGTGGTCTCCCGGAGAGCTACCTGTTTGATTCCTGTTCGGTTCTGACATTTCTAATCTGACTTGCTGGCTCTCCCTGCAAAAAGATTTTAGGTAACAAACTTTCTCCATTCAAACGACCACATCCCTTACTGGCACTTGAGCATTCACATAGAATTGGAACAGAAAACTTTGAAGAGAGAATTATGTGGTTTTATTTCCCTTAGAAACACTTATTTTGAAAATGGACCCCAGAGTGAGGAGCATGTGGGAATCAGAAGATGGGGAAGGTGGAAACTGGACAATTTTTTGTTCCGTCTTCTGGTTTTTCCTGCTTTCCTCAGTAGGGCAACCAGAGATAGTCTGCCTAAGGGCCCCTTCTGGGCAATCAGCTGTGAGGTCTGTTCTCTTCATTATCCCGAGCTCTTTTTCTCGATCCCTCTTCTGGCGTATCTCATGTTCTGCCTTGATTTGTGGTTTGGGGCACATTGGCCAGGTTTCTCCAATTACCTTGCTAACTCATCAGTGAGAGAACTGGACCTTTCTTATCCTCTGTGTCCCCTGTGCTTCCCAACATAGAAACTGGCTTCTTATTCACTTAAATACCTTTGTGACCACCTAGAGGGGTGGGATAGGGAGGGGGGGAGGGAGGGAGACGCAAGGGGGAAGAGATATGGGAACATATGTATATGTATAACTGATTCACTTTGTTATAAAGCAGAAACTAACACACCATTGTAAAGCAATTATACTCCAATAAAGATGTAAAAAAAAAGAAAAACAAAAAGAATCCTGGCTGCTTCAGTCATTCTTGTAAAACAATAAAATTAAACTTATAAAAAAAAAAACCTATGGATTAGATGGATTCATTCAGGTGGTTTTCCAGATATCTGTAACTAAATTTATCATACTAAAAGCTTAAAAATACACTGATCATGGTAACAGTTTTTATAAAGTGCAATTAAATAGAACCAGCCTTGTAATAGTTATTTTTAAAAATCTTCTAGAGTTATTTCAATCTAAGAAATCAAGTCAAATCTATTTTATTATTTTTTTCCAGAGCCAGGTTAATCTAACAGTTAACAGCCGGCTGAATGATCTGATAACTGGAAATGTGAATTGAATTAAATAAGCCTAATTTTAAAAAATTTGTGACTACAGTTCCAGCATATCAGGCATATCTGTCAAGGGAGTGGAGAGGATGGAATTGTTTTAAGTATTGTTGCAGTTAATTGTTGCTTCAAATAACAGGCTTTCTGAATATTAGTGCCTGAAGCAATGGCAGTTTTTATTTCAAGACCAGAAATCTAAAATCTAGAGATATGAGTTTGCATGTTTGGGTAAGTAGATCAACAATGTTAAAACAGATGTCTGCTCTTCTTATCTTTCTGGTCTGCTATTTTCACCATGTTGACAGTATCTCTTCTCATGGTTGCAAGATGGCTGCTGTGGCTCCAAGCATTACAGCCTCATCAAAAATATCCCAAAAGGAAGGAAAAGGGAGGGCAAGAGGCTCTGTTCTTAGGCTGAGGTAGATCCCAAAAGTCTTGTCCAAGTTGGAGAAAAAGCATAAAGAACCCCGTGGACTCAGATCAAGTTTGCTTTTAATTTTGTTTACTTGAGAAACAGCTAATAAACAATGCAAAGGATAATGATATGGGTCTAGAATATGGATGGGTGGAGACAGTTTCCCATTACCTCCTTTGCCCCTCACAGCGGGAGTCTTGAAGTCCAGTGGTCTTGGAGGATCACACAGAGTGGCACGTCTACCAGGTGAATGGAGAACAGTGTTTTGAGTCCACTGCATTTTACAACCTCAGCCATCTCAGTTCACGGACAACTTGAAATGCCAGTAAGCCTGCTACTCAGCCCACCGTGGCACTCAGATCTAATGACTGTGTTTGGAGACTTGGAAATTTTTCAGGACCTGCATGGGGACAATCTCCCCTTCTCTGTAGAGGTTAGTTCACCCTTTATGTCTAAGAGTTCAGCCTGTATGTTTGAAAGCTTAACAGCGGTTGAGTTGGGAAAAGAGGAAGTAAGGACTTTGGACGCAAGAAACAACGCAGCAAAGGCATGTTGGTGTGACCCAGTATGGTCTGTTCAGGGCACTGCCAGTGACTTGCAGTGGCTGGAGCACAGAGCCTGAGTAGGGAGTGGGAGGATGTGAGACCAGCGCGGGAGCCAGGAGCCCAGGTGTGCACCGTGCGAGCCCAGCAGAGGGGTGACTGGGCCAAGAAGGCCTTCCAGAAGTCTTGGATCTGAGTCCAGCACAAACCTGATATTCAGCTAAGACCCAGGGGTACAGCTATACAGGTTAGTTATGCCCGTGTCATCCCAGTTATTACATATTGTGAATATTGCCCCTGCTCTAGAGGAGGTGGTGAGGGAGTCCCCAGGCAGAGGAGGGGGACGGGCTTTCCAGGGAGAGCTTATACAAAGGTAACCAGAGAAGGGAGAGATGGAAATATAAGGGGAAGATGAGGCCAGGGTGGTGGAGGGGCCGGACCATAAAAGGCCTTCTGTGGCAAACCAGAATTTTGCACTTGTATGGGTCGTGGAAAGACAGTGAAGGGTAGAACCAATCTTGCCAACCCAATGATCCATCCTGACTCAGCCCCAGGACCTGGGACCCTGTTACCTCTTATGGGCAGGGCGTTTGAAAATGTAGATGGCTGATGGTGAGCCCAAAGCCTTGGCAGAAATGATTGTGTTGTATTTTCTTTCTTTCAAAAAGAGGGAGAAAGAAAGGAAGAAAGAGAGAGGGAAGGAAGAAAATAGAGGAGGAAAGGAGGGAGAGAAGGAATAAGAGAGGGAGGAAGGGAAGAAAGAAGAGGAAAAAGGGAAGAAAGGAAAAGGAAAGAAAGAAGGAACGGTAGAAACCAATATGGCAAGACTGACAAGATCTGGCAAGGCTGAATGGTGCATATGGAGGTTACTCATCATTATGGTTATTGATTTGTTATTCGCCTCCCCACTTTGGGATATTTCAATTTGTAAAAAATGAACATGGTCAGGTGGAAATCTAAAAGTAGATATAAGTCTTTCTGCAAAGCGATTTGACATATGGTGTCAAAAGACCTAAAGATGCTCATTTTTGACCCAATAATTCCATGCCGGGACATGCAGAGATTTATAGACAAGCAATCTATTTTCTTTTGCTTCAAGTATAGACATAACCCATTAATTTCACCTGGGGAGGAGTGGCGGAGGAGTTGTGCTAAATTAACTTGTCAATGACAGAAAATGTGCTATTTTAATGGAAGTCTTCCCCAAATACATTGTTCCTGTCCTGGTACAAGAAGTAGAGTATTCTGAAATACAAGTAACCTTCTCTTGATGATTCTTTATTAATGTAATTAACAATCAAAGTACAGGCTAATAAATTCAGTGATGAAAGTAGCTGTTGAGGTGCAAGGGGAGTTTTGCTCCTGCACAGTATTCCTCTGGACAGCTAGTTCCTCTGCATCTCTTGGTTCTTCTTTTTCCTTTACAGTTGGCCGTCATTTCTCATTACTTGTCACTTGAATTCTCATTAGAAATCTCCCATCCAGTCAGAACAAAGCAAAACAAAAAGCAGGAGTTAGCCCTGACAGCCTAGTTCCTATGCCATGGCAGGTGCTAAAAATTCTGACCATCACATAGGCTTAGTGACTTCTGTTTTTTGAACTTGGATCACTTGTGGCTGGTGGGGGGATGTTGGATGAGGAGAGATTTACTTCCTCGGCCTGCCTTTAGCTAAGCTAAGATTTCTGATGAGTGGCCCTTGGATAATTAATGTCTACCCGGCCATATGATCTGGGGAGAAACAGGCCGATAGTTACTCGTACTTTCCAAATAGGAGGCTGTCTGCATAGACCGATTGACATTTACGGACAAAATAAAATAATGCTGACCATTCACCTGCGATAAACTGGCCACACCCTCTTATTATGACTTATCCATCTTGGACTGAATATTTAATAGTCTATATTATGCGCAACTCAAATTTCAATACATTTACTGTACCCACTTTAATTATTATTTTATCAAAATGGTTACTTTGCTTACATTCATGTCTTATATGTTCATAAAAAAGTTTTGAAGCAGTATATATATATACTGCTTCTTCCCTTGAAGAGAAGATCTGCAGATTTTTTATCTTGCGTTTTAAGTTAACAAGCCTCCAAATGTCTTAGAAATTATGGTCAGCCAAACAGCATGCACTAAAAGGATAATGAAAACATGAGTACCTTACTTAGACGCATATTACCACCTGTCACAGTCTCAAACAACAACAGGAACAAAAACCCACTCCAGAATGAAAATACTGGTATATTTATATAATGCAAAGAGAAATACAGATATAAATCCTCAAAACGGAAGATACGTTAATAAAAATGTAGCATTATAAGCGAAAAAATACAGTACTTGCAGAATTTAGTCTTTCAACTTAAGGTTACAACGTGTCTAACAAAGAAATAGTACTTAAAATTATAGTTCTCATTATTAATTTAAAATAACCATCAGGAGAACAGCACAGCTTAACAGCTTAACCTAGCAAACATTTTAAGGAAATGCTTTGTCTCATAGAAGTAGAGTATCATTATATTCCATCCATTTATACCATGAACAAAAGAATAACAATTTTCAAAGTGGCAATTAGTTTCATAAGACAGAATAAAACTGGGCTCTTCAAAGCACAAACTGTTCCCCTAAAATTATTTTAATTTTTATTGGCAAAAAATACCTAAACAGTTTTGATTTAGCACTCCGCTTGTCTCTGAGCCCTCCCCATCCGTGAACCACAATCAGTACATACAAAAACATGCAATACTGTATTTTCTCCACACCATTACTAACCAAAACACTTCTTACTCTTTTGAAAGGTACAGTTTTACAGAAATGTTTCCACTCAAGATTGGTATGATACAAAGAGCAGTTGTCGCTGACGGGCATTTGCTAGTAGTATAAAGCAAGGTAGGAAACAAATCTTGTGTTACTTGTTACTGATTAAAAATGACTGCCTTGCTACTCGTTCCCATTTCTGCTCTTTAAATTCAATATCAATACTGAACAAAATTCTCAACGCCTTCAAAGAACCACAGCAGTCCAACTGACCCCACCGATGGCAATTCAGAGGGAACTTGAGACAACTTTCCCTCTTTTCTCCTGCTGCCAACAGAAGACCCTCAAGAAATCAAACTTGTGAAGTCCCCCTGGGTTCCTCTACCTCAATGCAAAATGTAATGCCACTTGAGGTTGTCAAAAATAGCTTCTGTAGAAAACTGGCCATGGTCTTTAGGAAAGGTTGCATGAAAAAAATTAGTTTAGCTTTTATTGAAAAAAAAAAAAAAAAAGTAACTCATGGAATAAAAGACATCAGTGCCAGTACAAAGACTCCAGGGCCTGCTGTCAGGATGAAAATATATTTAGGAGAACAATCGCAAGGAGCTGGGGTGGGGCTGGGACTTCGAAACCCTCCCCCCAAAAGGAGTCTGTACAATCCTAGTGATGATGCACTTCGAGAGCCGTTTTGAAGGCAGCTCAGAAAATTAAAAAGGGGGCAGAAGGGGGAGAAAAGACGTCACTGTCCAAGCCAAAGGGAGAGGCCGGGTTGCGGTGCAGGTGAAGGGAGAGCCACTTATAAACCGATGCCTTTCAAGTCGCAGGGGAGGGTGGCCTGGGTGGCCTGGGGGCTCTGGCAACAGGGGAACTGGGCTCGGAAGCAGTCCCTGAGCTCTCTGTTGAAGAGGAAGCACACGACGGGGTTGATGCCGGCCTGCGCGAAGGTCAGCCACACGGAGGCCGTCAGGTAGGCCTGGGGGACAGCGCCGGGCCGCACCAGGACCCGCATGTAACTGGCCACGACGTAGGGCCCCCAGAGGAACAGGAAGAGCAGCGTGATGGCATAGAACATCTTGCACAGCCTCTTCTCTGTCTTGAACTCCTCGAGCACGAGGAGGCGGCGCGCGCCACGGCCGGGCCCGGCCGGCCGGATGCCCACGAGCGCGGGCGGCGTGGGCCCGCGGCCGAAGCCCGCCGTCCAGTTGGCGGCCGCCTGGCCGGTGGCACCGGGGCCGTGGAAGGTCCAGTCGTGGCTGACGGCGGGCACGAGGCGCGCGGGCCGCATCTTGCGGCGATCGTGGATGAAGAAGAGCAGGCGGAGGTAGACGAGGTGCGTGGCGCCCACCACCACGGCCAGCAGCAGCAGGAAGCCCAGCGCGCCGGGGGCGCCGTCGGGCCGCTGCTCCAGGGCGCATGGCGCGTCCTCCTCGTCGCCGCCGCCGCCGTCCAGCACGGGCGGGAAGGCCGCGGCCAGCGCCAGCGCCCAGGCGGCGCACACCAGCATGGCGGCGCACGGCCAGCCGGCCAGGCGCTCAGCGTAGAAGCGGTGGTGCGCTATGGCCAGGTAGCGGGTGACGCCCACGCCGAGCAGCAGGAAGGCGGCGTGGAAGCAGAAGAGTGCGGCCAGGAAGGCGAGCAGCTTGCAGCCCAGCGCGCCCGGCGGCGCCCCCGCGGCGGCCGCTGCCCGCCGCGCCGCCAGCATGACGGCCGGGAGGCAGGCGAGCGCGCGCAGCCCGTCGGCCAGGCACAGGTCGAGCAGCAGGTAGTACGGGGCGCGGTGCAGGCTGCGCTCCCGCACGATCAGCAGCGCGAACAGCACGTTGCCCGCGAGGCTAACGCACAGCAGTAGGCTGAGCGTGGCCAGCTTGAGGCCCAGGGCGGCCGCCTCGCCGCCGCCGCCGCCGCCGCCGCCGCCCGGCTCGCTCGCGTTCGCCATCGCGGCCTCCCCGGGCCGGGCGCCGCGCTCCGCTCCGGGGCCGACCCCGGCCTCGCCGCTCCGCAGGCCTGCCGGCCGGCCGGAACTCAACCAAGCGCGCAGGTCTCCGGCGAGCTCCCGGGCCGGCGGGGCTCAGCCCGCGCCCGGGTGACCCCTCCTCGGCTCCCCGAGCTGCCGCCGCGTCGCCGCCATCTCAGGAATGGTGCGCGCAGGAGGCGACGGCCACTCCCTGCGCCTCGGGCGCCGCGGGCTTCACTGCGGACCGGGCCGCGCCACTGCCCGCAGCCCCTGCATCCTCCTCCTCCTCCTCCTCCGCCGCCGCCGCCGCCGCCGCCGCTGCGCCTCTGGGCTCTGCCCCCCGCCGGCCCCGGCGCCGTCCCCGCCGCCGCCGCCGGCGCCGCCGCGGAGCCCCCTCCCCTCCGCCGGAGCGCGCCGCGTGGCCGCCGCCGCCAGCCCCGCCGAGGCATCCCGCGCCGCCCGGGCCGGGCTGGGCTGGGGGCGCCGCCGCAGCAGCTGCGGGGCCGGGAGGCGGCCGGGAGGGAGGCAGGGCCCAGGACGCGAGGTGGCGGCAGGTCGCGTTTGGCCCCAGGTAACGGGGGTCCGGCGGCGGTGCCCGGCGCCCGCCCTGGGGTCACTGAGGTGGCCGTGCGCGGGGGGGAGGTTGCCTGGGATGGCAGGGTCGGGAGGCCTCGGGGCGTGGGGGCGGGGTGTGGGACCGGAGGATCTGGGATGAGCCCTCTGCCCGCAAGCTCATAGTAATTCACAGTCATCGTCGTGATCACAGCCTTGTAACCTCTAGTATTCAGGTCAGCACTGATGTGGGCGGCAGTGTTCTGGGGAGCTTTACGCCCTCAGCGTTCACAGAAATGACAAAGTTGGTTCTATGCTTAAACCCGCTTTATATCTGAGGAAGCAGAGGCTTGGAGGTCAAGGGAGTTAAGGGCCGGTAAGTGGTAGAGCTGAGATTGAAATTTCACTCGGTCTGATTTCCACGGCTGGACGCACCAGCGACCCTGAAGCATACCCTGCTCTCTGCCCCATTCGTGGTCCCAGTGAAGGCATCTGTCAGGGAAAAGAAATTCAGCATTTTCCCTTGATTTGGAAGGTGAATCCCATGCCACCTTCCTCCCAGGGTGTCAGTCTTCTGGGAAGCCCGAAAGGGCAGCCCCTGTTCTGATCCTCAGCTGCACCAAATTGTCTCCAGGCTTTGCGTAGGCTCTTCCCTCTGCCTGGACCAGCCCCTCAACGGGCTCCCCATCCTCTGGGCCACTCTTCTGACCAGTCTAGCTTACTCTGTACCATTGCCCATTCATTTCCTTCTTAGCACTTAATTATTTGGTATTACGTATTTTTATTGCTTTTGAAGATCCTGTCCTTTCAACTGATCTCTAAGCTCCAGGAAGGCAAGCGACTGTGTCTAGTTTTTCCTAACCCTGTATCCGCAATGCCTAGGATGGAGAAGCCAGAATTAAGAAATATGTTCTTTCTCAGGTACACTCATTTTTTGCTTTGTTTTATGCAGAATATTATTTATTGGCATGGCAGGCACTGTGATGGGCATTTTTAGGATGACACAAGATCATAGAAAGCCTTGTCAGGCTGAGGAGTCTAAACTTTAGTCTATAGGCAGTCAGGAGCCCTTGGAGGTTTTTGAGGGAAGTGCTGTGATTAGAAAACGACTGATGTGCGTCAGGAAGATTATTTTGACAGTAGTGTTTAAGAGGAATGACAGAGCAGAGTCTGGAAGTCTAGTCCAGAGCCTTAGTCTTTAATGTGCCCAGAAATCACTGGGGATCCTGATTCAGTAGGTCTGGATGGGGCTGGAGATGATGCCTTTCTAATAATTTCTTAGGCGACACTAATGTCTCTGGTCTACAGACCACACTTGGAATAGCAAGGACCTTGAGGGCATTTGGACATTTTGTAAAAATCTGAGTGATGGCCAATGAGGGCCTGACTTAGGGCCCCTAAGTGGCCAGGGACAAGTGGCTGACCAGGCAAGTCTACGGATATTTGTTGACAGAAAAGAGAAGTAGATGTGGGAGAGTGTTTTGGTCAGGAATTGCATTTTGATAATAGTAGCTCAAAAATGTACACGAGTTTATTTTCTTCATAAAACAAGAAGTCTGGAGGTTAATGGCATTGAATTATTGGCTGTAAGTCCGAGTCTCTGAAAATCTTTTAGCCCTTTCCTCGTGATCAGTAGGCTCCTGACACCCCAGCCATTCCCTCGGCATTCCAGGCAGAAAGAAGGAAAAGAAAAGAAGAGCAAAAGTGTCCTTGCCATCTACGTGGGCCTCCTCTGAAGAGTTTTCTAGAAGGCCTACATGATAACAGACACATATTCATTGGGTACCACTATCAGCAAAGGATATTGGGGAGCGATTTCTTACTTTGATATTTTAGAGCCAGGCTCATAGCCGCAGACAGTGAGTTCCAGCCTTGATGTGGACCTTAGCGCTTGGGCTGCTTCTGCCCAGAGGAAGGGATGCCTTCTTTTAACGCAACCACAACTCTGGTTCCTTTATGACACTGTTAAGGGCAGCCTGTGTTCGCTGAGCACTTGCTATGTGCCAGGCGGTGTGCTGAATACTTGACATGTGTTATCTCGTTTCATCATTCTAAGGGCCTTATGGGGTGGGTACTGTTATAATTTCCATTTTGCAGATGAGGCAGAGAGGTTAATTTGTTCAGGCTTTCACCAAAAGTAAGTGTGAGAGCTGGGATTGCAAGGCAGAAAGTCTGACTCTAGAGCCCACGCTCACAACCACCATACGTATTGCCCCTTCACCATAACTGCAAAAAAAAGGTGCTACCTTTGTAAAAACAAACAACCAAGCACTACTGATGTTCACAGAATTAAAGCCGCTTCAAAGAGGGGAGAGATTTTCAAAAGCATCTCATCCAGTACTTTCATTCTGTGAACTCATACATGGCTGAGTGGGCAGTAGAATCCAGGTCTTCTCACTCCTAGGTCAGTACCCTTACCACTTAGATGAAATCTTCATATTATTTGTTCTAATGATCACTTGACATTTCTCTTAACCTCTTGGAATCTCAAATGTTCCCATTTACAAAAGGAGAAATTGGACCAAATGATTTCAGAGGGTCCTCACCTCTGAGGTTCACTTTGTATATGAGAAAATGAAAGGTAAATGGTTATACAGTCCCGGATGGGGAGAGATTTATTCTGCATAAAAAGACCCATAAGGAGAGACATTAGTTCCTTATGATTTAGGTTTCTCTAAGGTTTCTACTTCTCTCCATGACTCAGTACGCTTCTCTTTGGGATTTGGTTTAGTCATCTTCTCAGGATCAAATAGCAGAAGCAGCAATAGAAAATATATAAATCACGGCTCTCACAGCAGTTATATGCCTGCTTCTTTCATTGTCACCATTTGTTCAGAAGATTAATACTTAAGGAAAAACTATTAACATTTCATTGCCAGAATCAACTTATTTTCCCTTTATTGTTTCTAGGGAGCTTCACTGAAGAATTTAAAATAGTTTCTTAGGCACCAATTTGAGTGCTAGCATCTCAAAGCATAACAGCTCGGTGGGATTCTTCCCTCTAAGAAAAATTGCTTCCTTTTGCACATAGATAGAAAAGTTGGGGTTTCCACCCCAAATTAGTTCTGTTACTTCTTTGCTGCACGTGTAGGTGATGTGAATGGTAATGGAAGTCTGCTGTTCAGAAGACTGGTTGACAGACCTTGACAGATTCAATCAAGGCCATGGTCCGCATCATCACGGGAGCCAGTTTGGCTGATGTCTCCTGTCCAGCCTCAGGCTTCTGGCTAGTCATCTGCCAATGGGCATGTTGAGCATCAAGTTAGAGGAGGTTGGTCTGACTTAGTCTCATCCCAACTCTTAGAAAACATGAGGCAAAATCTATGTCCAATGGATGCTGAGTTATCAAAGGATATTACTCAGATTGGCCTCTCCATGGGAGGGAGTCATAACTTCAGGACTGCAAATGGACTTGGAGTTAAATATACCTTAGTTCATATCCGAGTCCCATCAATTACTAACATGTATCCTCAGCCAAGTCCTTTACCTCCTCTGAACCTCTGAGCCTCAAAGGCCTTTTGTGAGGAAGATTCCATAAAATTTGATCCATTTACAAAAAAAGAGTGTAACGCAAGGTGTGCACCCAGGTGGTGTGTAATAAATGGTAAATACATTTTTTGCTCTTACTAGACTATAAATGCCTTGGCTAACCATGGCTTGATTGACTTTTATATTCTCAACCTAGCCTAGGAGGATGCCATACACACACACAGACACACACACACACACACACACACACATATATGTGTATATATATATGTCTCAGTATTTGTGTGGCAGGTGTGAATGTCAGTCTATAAAATCAAGGGTGCCAGAAATATAACTGCTTCGTAGAAACTTAATTTCTGACTGAGTTGCCATTTTGCATTGATGGTGAAGAAAAACATGTAAACTTGGTGCTTCTGGGGTTTCATCATGGACCTTTGCTTCTTTGGGATGTGCCATAATTCCAGGCTAGTGCCCAGATTGCCCAGCACACAGTCATTCAGGGTAGTGTGTGCATGTGTATGGGAGGTCAGTGATGTTTGGTCAGTTGTTGCCATGTTTTTTCTCTCCTTAAAAGTCATTGTGGTTTGGTGATTCTTAGCTGTCTCATGCCAGACTTGGGGCGTGAGAATAGGGGCTGAGGATCTATATCGTATTAGATGTCTCTCAGCTCTATGTCTGGGAAACCCAGTGCAGATCCCCTCTCTCAGTACCCTCTCGCTCCTCCCTTCTGCCTTCGTCTCTGGGGACTCCCTGTCTACTCCAGCATTGGGGAATACTGTTCTTTCTGTTCTTCTAGATAGTATAATTGGTCAGTTCTCCTGGGAATCGGTGGTCCCAGAATTTAGGTGTTTGGGAGAACAAAAGTCAGGAAGCTACCTTCCGTAAACCTCTCCTTGGCGAGGAAGCTTGGACCCTGCTATCTGCTTCAGTGTGGGGAAGGAAAGGGAAAAACAGGAAGAAAAATGATCAGGTCATATCTCAAAATATTGTCCTTGCTGTATATGTTTGTTGAATGAATGACTGAATATGTCATTCATGTGTACGTGCATGGCATACTGTCACACTTCTAATAAGCAAAATATGGTTTAGTGAAAACTCTTTTAACAGTTTTCTCCATGTGCAAAAAAATGAAGTTGGACCCTTACCTCACAAATATAATGTACAAAAATTAACTCAAAATGTATCATAGACATAAATGTAAGGGCTAAAACTGTAAAACTTAGAAGAAAACATAGGAGTGAATTTTCATAACTTTAGATTAGGCAATAGTTTCTTAGATATGACACCAAAAGG